AAATGAACTTAATTTACATTCATTTAGCTTTGCTTTACACATCTGGGCTTTCCTTGCTTTATTAAACATTTTCAGATGTCATTTAATGAATTATATAGTTAATCTCTAAGATTCTTTAAAAAAAGAGTCATAGAGAAGAAAACAAATACACATATTCAATTTCCTCTGGGAATGTGGCACATTTTGCTTGCTTTATCTTCTATTTCTACTGATACAAGATAGAAACAAATACTGAACTTTTAATTTTAATGAGGGACTGAAAAAAATTCCAGTGTATGGTCTGGAAACAAATGCAGTGGCAGATATTTAAAATACTTTCAAATTATCTCATTCCTTTGGCTTATATGCCTTGACAGGTTTATATAATGATGTCTACAAAAAATGACATCTTATGATCAACTTCAGAACCATCAGACTGAGTGCAGGGAATATCACATGGTGTCCCAGATGTTCTGTGACATATTGATAAACTGAAGAGCTTACACATGCTGACAGAATAGCCCAGCCTTTTCACACTTTATTGTTGTTCTCACTCTTTTTATATTTCTTTCAAATAGTAAATGACTTTGCTCCTGAAATGATTCAGCAATAAATAAATAAATAAATCACATACTGGGAATCTGACTATGCCAAAAATGATTCTGCTCCATTTTTAAATTAACTTTTCATTTTGCAAGTACATGCCCCAACTCAGTGACTCCATTAAAAAAAAAACACCAAACAAAAACCCTTCACAATGCAAAATGTCAAGTTGAAGTAGTTCTATATTTATCTTCCTTTAAAACAAAGGTGCTTTGGCAAAATGCTAAAACTATAGCATTACTTTACACTATATTATGGAAAGCATACAGAAAGGCTGAATGTTTAAAAACAATAATAAAACCGGCTATGTAGTGCTTAAATTCTCTAATCACAATCACATTTATTTTTGGGGGAAATAGTCAAATTTCTAAAAATTCAGCCTTCTACGGTCCTTTCGTTAATGAAGCCTGATACAGTTAATACAGCGAGCATATGCTTAACTGTAACTTCTTTATTTATCCTAGTGATTATAAACAAGAATTATTAGAAACAAGGCAGACAACAAATTCTATATCCATTTAGATCTATTAAAGTTAAAACACTATTCAGAATCTTCTTCAGGCTCTGGAGACTATGTGTTATACTGCTAAAAGGCCAAACCCAGACAAGGGTTACTACAGGTAGTCCTCCACTTATGACCATGATTGAGTCTGGAATTATTATGGTAAGTTGTACTGGTTATTAAATGGGTCATTACATGACAACACCTGATTTATTTTTTGTGGTCATTAAGCAAATCTGCTGGCTGCAACAGCCATATCCCCCCTCCTCAAGCTGGAAGTAAACATGCCAATGGCTATAAATTCAGACCAGTTGCCAAGTCCCCAAAATGTTATCATGTGATCATGGGAGCCTGGCTAAGCAACCAGTTATAAATTAAGGATTACCTGCATTACCACTCAGGAACAGGGATTTTCTATCATTTGAGTCAGTGGTAAGATTCAATTTTTTTTTATTACTCGTTCTGTGGGCATGGCTTGGTGGGTGTGGCTTGGTGGGTGTGGCAGGGAAGGTTACTGCAATATCCCCATTCCCTCCTGATCATCTGGGACTCGGGAGGCAGGCAATAGATGGGGGTGGGGCCAGTCTAGAGGTGGCATTTACCGGTTCTCCAAACTACTCAAAATTTCTGCTACCGGTTTTCCAGAACTGGTCAGGATCTGCTGAATACCACCTCTGATCTGAGTGCTGTCTCCCATCTTCTGACTTCTTCCCAAATCCATATTCTCACTTTGTGCATAATAATTTCCTTAGTTCCTAACCATTTTATTGGCTGAGATGATGGAGAAGGGTAAGGAAAATGTCATGGGTCCCCTTGTTCTCCTTTCTCAGAATGTAGCAGAGAACAGAACCAGAAATAGGCCTTGCAGGTGGGTCTGAACAGCCACCCTTGCTTGAGTTTAACAACTCTTAACAAAGAGAGAAGGGACTAGCACAAGACACAGGTGCTTCTTAGACCTTCTGTGTGCCATATTTACACCTGGCTTCCACCCCATAATCCTGCATCAATAAATCTGAAGCAAGTCTCTAATCATTTTGATTTCTACTGGCCTTGAAATATCAGAAGATGCAGTTGTCCCTCAAGGTGAGCAGAATTTTATTTTTTTTTAAAAAATGAATTCAGTCTCCTACCCAGAAGTGGTATTCAACAGGTCATCTGACCAATTCTGGAGAACCAGTAGCAGAAATTTTGAGTAGTTCAGAGAACTGGAAAATACCACCTCTGTCTGACCCCATCCCCATCTATTCTCTGTCTCCCTAGTCCCAGCTGATCATGAGGAAATGGGGATTTTGCAGTAACCTTCCCCTGCCACACTCACCAAACCACGCCCACCAAGCCATGCTAAGCCCACAGAACTGGTAGTAAAAAATTGAATCCCACCACTGTTCCTATCCATTGATCAGTTTCTTTGTTTGCTTATTATCTTCTCTCTCTCCCTCTCTCTCCCTCTCCCCCTCTCTCTCTCTCTCTCTCTCTCTCTCCAGCTATCTACCTATCTACTTACCTTTGAGCTCCCTTCATCCCTACTCTCTACATAATAACAAGAAAGTTAACTTACTAACCACAAGTGTGTGAATGCATAGACTCACACACTCTCACACACAATCCCCACATCATTGGATGTCATTGTCTACTTTTGTGCCTATGTTTATAATGCATTCAAATGAAGGTATCTTTTTTTCTCCTTTATTAAAATATTTCTGCAGGTTGCAACACTGGAAGCATGTAGCATAGCAACCCTTTTTGCAAGTGATTATGACTCTACTCATGGCTGAGCTTCTCTATGTACATGTGGGATGGAGACAAATAGCTTATTTGAGCCCAAAGACCGAAAAGTCCTGTGAGGCCAACATTCATTGCCTTATATAAAGAAAGAAAAGAAAGTCAAGCAGCTTACAGAAATTTAGAGACTTCCATGAAGGGGGTAGATCAGGTTCACTGCTACTTCAAAAAGTATCTTGATACTTTGCAGTTTTTTTTCAACCTCTGCAACTTTAAGCTGCGAAGAGCTCCACTCCCAGAATTCCTCCAGCCTGCAGGCTGGTGCAAATTTGGGAGCTGAAATCTGTGCAGCTTAAAATTGTGGAGATAAGAGAAATACTGGCTTACTGACAGTAACAAAAGAACATTAAACAGACAGAAAGGTGACACTACAGTAAATACCTAAGATCAAGAATGCAATTGAAAAGTAGAGCAGGACTGTCAACCTAGTGGCCCAGATGTGTCATGCACTGGCCACGCCCACGCCCAGTTTAGCAAAGGAGAAAAAACTCCCAATACATCACATGACAGCCCTGTGACTCTGCGAGTTTGACACCCCAGAAGTAGAGGATAGGGATATTTAACTAGGCTAGTACTTGTACTTTTACTTTACTTTGTTGATTAGCCCTTGGGCCATATCAAAGTGCAGAGTTCCAGACACAAATTATTACTAAATAAAATAATTAATATATAAAACAAATTTAAAATGGAAAAAAACAATTTAATTGTTTTTAATTAAAACTGATAAAAACAATTTATAATTGAATTGGATAAAATATGTTTAAAATTAAATTAGAGTAAAATACAATAATTTAATATATAGATATAAAATATTTTAAAATTATATTTTGGTGTCACCCCTACAATCTAACCCCATCAGTCCCACATATGCCAATCTCAACTAAACCATTTTGCTTAAGAACTGTGCCATGTTAAATGTTATTTTCAGATTCTGGCCACAAGTTGTTTTGATATGGGGACTTGTAAAAAAAAATCCAGAGCAGCTTTTTGTAAATATTACTGAATATTAATCAGTGCTACTGTACTGTGGGGCTGTATGTGTAGACTTCATCAAAATGAAATTATAATTTCCAAATTGAGCAAGGGATTCATGCAATCCTTCTGGAGAACTTGTCACACTTCAGTGTATATGGACATATCTTTTTGCTCGAATTAATGCCCTCAGATTCTGCAAATATATTTTATTCCATCCATTTTTAACCCATATGCCACACAGGAATATTAAACCACCCTGGCTTCTACTGTCCTTGCTAATTTTCATCATTAATCAATGTAAGTCAGGGGTGGGTTGCTGCTAGCATTACTGCCAGTTCGCAACCCGCATGTAACATGCGTGCTACACATGTATGTGTTGTTTAATGTAAATTGTTTTGCGGCACATACAGTCACTGAAATCCAAAATGATGATGGGCAAGCGGCAGCGAGGGAACCAGTTTGGGGGCATGGCAGGCCTGGGTCACTGCCAGTTCTGCAACCCAGGCCTTAATTCCACTACCGGTTAGGCCAAACTGGGCCGAACCAGCAACAACCCACCTCTGATGTAAATGCTGTACATATATGTGTGCATGATGTTAATATAAGGCAAACTGACTGGGGAAAAGTTGCCTTAGATGGACAGCATCCTCAGGCTTAAATTAATGAATAAAAATCCTCTTCATTGTCTCTTTGGGTTTTTCTTTCTGTTACTAATATATAAATTTCTATTGTGTTCACTTAAGTAAGTAAAGCTGTGTAATACAAAAATTAGACTTGGCACTGAAAAAAAAACTACAGTGAAGTCCCTTTTCAATTATGGAAACACACTTGGGCCTGTCAATCTATCTCAGCCAAATCTACCTTATAGGGTTGTTGCTTCAAGAAAAAAATGAGAGCAGGAGGCATTACAGATGCTGCCTCAAGGTCCTGAACAAAAGTCAGGATCTAAATCTAATGATAAACGAGACAGAATATTTAAAGCTTTTTAAAAATCTGTGTCTTCAAAAGCAACATAAACAGAATCAGCTGAGAATTTACTTCATTATATGTTTAAAAATGTGCTATTTTATTCATGCATTAATAAACTACCATTAATCTATAAAACATTCTTATAATTTTGCTAGAAAAACCATTACTTTTTCAGACTTCCAATACTTACTATGAAGATTAGGAATGGTGCTAATTATCCATTCGTCAGTCAGCTTTCCAGTTTTTGATGTCTCAATGCATTTTAACTGAGTTGAAGATTCTTTTGATTCCATCCAACACATTGTGTTCTTATTGTATATATAGTCCAGCATCTGAATTCCACTTCCTCTCAAAAATCCAAAGGTGGATGTTCTGGTTCCATTTACATATAGGACATCAATAGTGTCCGAGTTTGCAATCAATAGTAAAGGTGGAAGATCATTAGGTTCTAAAAACAAAAGGAGAGGCCAAAGAAAGAAAGAGAGGTTAATTAACAAATAAAAATAACCTACTCACTTTTGCAACATTTACATAAATCAGTTAAAACCACTTGCTCTCTTAATAAAGACTTCTATACTTGTATTCGATGAGGGTTCTATTCAATGCTTAAAACAAGAAAAAAAATGTGCTATACTAAAATACCAATGCTAAAATAAACCAACACTAAGATAAAGGTCAGTAGACAAAATAACATCCTCAGGAAATTAATGAGCTCTACCTGGGGTGCCAAACCAAAGGCACTTAAGACAACAACTCTAGCTCTTTGTTACTCATCAAGCAAATACACTTGCCCAATCTGGTATAAATCAGCACATGCCTGGAAAATAGATATTGCTCTCAATGAAGCTAGCAAAATTATTACCAAATGCTTTAAACCTATCCTATTTAGATAAGATCTAACACCTAGCCAGCATTGCCAAGCCTCCTATTTGCAGAGAAGAAGCAGCAGGTAGAGAGAGAAGCTCAAATCACCAATATCTAATTGAAAAGGAATTATAAATACCATCAACATAAAATGGAGCTTGCTCAGAAGCTGAAATATACCAAATAAATGAGATGATGAATGTGTAGAGGAGGGAGGTAAGGGAAGAAGAGAGGGATAGGAGAGAGGATGGGGGGAGAGGAGGAGAGAAAGAAGGAGTGAAAAGGGAGAGAGGAGAGAGAGAGAGGAAGGGGAAGTAGAGAAGAGAAGGATGACAGAGGGAAGAAAGGATGTAGGGAAAGAGAGGAGAGAGGGAGAAGAAAGTGATGGATAAGATACAAATATGGTGTATGGAGAGCAGAAGAGCCAATAATTGTTTTGATGGTAAGATTAATTGATGAAAACGTTTAATAATACAATCCAATGTTGGCTATGTAATAATATACATGCGATTATATGTTATGAAAATGAAAAAATAAAAAAAACTTTATATATAAAAATAATAATCAATATCTAGACAACACCCTCTCTATGGCCTACAACCAGGAATGGGATTCAGCCGATTTGGACCAGTTTGCACAAACCAGTAGTTCCGGCAATCAGTTGGCCCTATCCACTGCTGTGCTAGTCTGTCCTATATTTCCTTTGTTTGAAGCCCAGCTGATAGGTGCAGCAGAGCAGATTGTCGAGCCTCAGCTGTTTTACTCACCGGGGCTGCAGTAGAAGCTCCAGTGAGTTTTAGAGCTATTTTGAAATGATCTGCACATGTGCAGAGTGCATGTTTGGTGCAAAGTGTGCGCTTAGCGAACCGGTTGTTATACCAGTTGAATCCCACCACTCCCTACAACTACTTCATCAGAGATTAAAATCCAGGGGAAACTTCCTAGTTCAATTGAAGACTTTGAAGAATTTGAAAGCAGAGTAGACCTATGGAAAGCTACAAAGAACCAACACTGGATGGGACCATTGGAGGAGCAGGATCTGACAAAAGCTGGGAAGTATGGAAATCATTGAATAGGCTTCATATGGATACAATAATATCCAGAGACATTCTGAAAAAATGGGTCTATCCAGTGATTTCTGCTTGTTACAATTGTGGTGATGTGCAGAAAACAACACATATGTACATCTTCCCCTTTATGCCGTGAACAGTGTACACTTGAAGACCTCATAGCAGCGCAACAGAACACAATGTTGCTACTTTCTGTGCAAGATCTGCTTAATTTGAACATGTTTTAATCTTGTACTTTCTATTTTAAATTTACGTCACATAGTATACCTTACTTTAACTGTGATGCTTCTGACATGAATAAATAAACAAGCAACATGCTACATAAATGAATTGTCAGAATATGAAATCATGGCCTCATATATTCCAGAAAAACCATTTTCACACTCTGGTTGCTGTGTCTTGGAGAACGTTCTTATTTCATATTATAATCCCCTAACAGTTCAAATACCTGATCAGCCACAATGCATAGAAGTGGAAATGAGCAGTAGATTTGGTGATCTTACTTAACTTATTCAGTATCCTAAGTATCCTCAACATTTCATCGAGAGTTTCTGAAGATTCTACTGCACAAAAAGTCCATTGAAACGGCAACAGACAGTGGACTTCTGCTAGGTGCATATTGCTATTTTCTAATGACTGAATAATTATGGATTTTTCATGGATTCTGCCAAGCAAAGAAGGTTCACAGGCATCTTTTTAACTGTTTTAATTGCTTTTGGCAACACTGAATGAATGAATATGAATATCCAGATTGTTGCTGATCTGGATGTGATAAATTTAGTTAATTGACCTAATCAGAACCTTGACCTAACACTAGTAATAAATGAACCCAGTCAAGTAAATTATTTTCAGATTTGTCATTTGAACTGCATTTATTCTTTACTTTCCCCCTATATTTACAAGATAATTCATGTTGGAAAATTACTGTAATTTCCAATTTAACTCCCAGTGCACTTTCAATCAACCCTGTGTCCACATCAGAGTAAGCAAACAATTAATTAGAGCTAAAAAAAAACCCCAAGCTGGATGTTTATTTGGTAAACTTTAGCAAGTATACAAGTATTTGACTTGCAAAACTGACACAAACAGGAAGCACAAACAGAGACATGAACAAGAGGCAAGAAGTACTGCAACATAATTTATATATCTATCTATCAAAGGACACAGAACTTTCCAGAGCCACTAAATAGATTAGTGTGGATAATTAGCATGACAAATCCCAAAGGAAGTAGTTAGTCCAGCAGTAACCCTTTTATGTACATAAGAAAACAGAATAGACAGGGAAAGTAGGAAACAAGTGATCCTTTCTTTATTCTGCACCCTCAAGAGAAGAACTACTCTTTTCTCCACATTCAGAAATAAATTTCAAGAATTTTCAGGAATAGGATGTAGTTTTATTTAGATGGTCTAAAATCAATACCATTTTTTTTTTACTCTGTTGCTCTTACAAAGTGCTTTCCAGGATTTATGCAGGTTCCTTAAAACACAATTTAGTGTCCTTTTCCCTCAAAAAAGTATTTGAAAAAATGGAGAAAACTACTTTTTAACGTAGTTAAATGTTAATTTTGTGCCATATAGTTCAGTTTAAATCAGGATTGAAATAAGATTCTGCCAACTCTGTTGTAGGTTCTGTCACTACTGTTTTTTTTTCCATTGCTTCCACCAACAAGAACAGTCCCTCTTATTGTTTCTATTAGGTTTTGGGGAGGTGGAGAAGTGCCATTTTACTTATTCTATTTGTGATCCATGGACTAGTTCCAGGTGCTGCTGGTTTTGAGGACACTGCCAGAATTGGAATCCCTTTACAGTAGTATTTAAAGATAGAATTTGCTCAATTTACCCCTCCTCCCCTTCATACCTGCAACCTCTTAGCCTCTCTGTTCTTGACTGCGGGCTTAGTCAGCTTGGCAGATCACAGACAAAGAACATCTCCACGTCTACAATGGAAGAGGTAACTAAGAGCTGTGGTGGCACAGTGGTTAGAGTGTAGTATTGCAGGCTACTTCTGCTGATCACCGGCTGCCAGCAGTTTAGCAAACTGAATCTCACCAGGCCCAAGGTTGACTCAGCCTTCCATCCTTCCGAGGTTGGTAAAATGAGGATCCAAATTGTTGGGGGAAATATACTGACTCTGTAAACTGCTTAGAGAGGGCTGTAACGCACTGTGAAGCAGTATATAAGTCTAAGCGCTATTGATAATTTGACAACTAGCTAAAAATTCTGTTTCAATCAGCCTATATCCCCAGCACTATCTGCTGAAATTAAATCCCCTACCTAGTCAAAGTTGGGCTCTTCTCCTCCCTCTCCTATATATCACAAATGCTGTTACTTAGGCAGTTGCACAAGTATGCAATTGTGAAATTTTCACAATGACATCATCACATTGTGTCATCATTTGGACATCACTTCAGTTTATTATGGGTACCTTGGCATGCATTTAAGACATATTGTACATCATTTATTAAGGATTTCAGTAAAACAGTGACTCAATCATTCTGAGTATCAAGGGAAGGAATGGCTGTACTCAGGTACTACTATAAAAGAAGGAGCCACAGAAAAGAGAAATGGGCTTTCTTTCTGAATATTCAAAACAAAATTCAGTTTGGTGAGTTCTTTATGAAATCCTGCTAGTTGACCTCCCATAAACAATTATGATAGTCAAGAAATGAACTTGGGCTTCTCCAAGCATCCCTGGCAAACTCCCATGAAAGCACAGAAATTGGCTGGGTTGCTGGCTGCTATGCTATTTCTGGCTGAGGCAATACTTGCCTCAAATAGCAATAGCAATAGCCCTTAGACTGGTATACTGCTTCAGAGTGCTTTTACAGCCCTCTCTAAGCAGTTTACAGAGTCAGCCTATTGCCCCCAACAATTTAGGTCCCCATTTCTCTGACCTCAGAAGGATGGAAGGTTGAGTCAACCTTGAGCCAGTCAGGATCGAGATGCTGGCAGCCCGCAGAAGTAGCCTGCAGTACTCATTCTAACCACTGCACCACCACAGTTCATGCTGCTTTAATTGTTTGGGATTGGGTAGATTTGTTTTCATAAATCTTCTTGGTGGTGATGTTGTAATAATGTTTCAGCAAGCTGTTCAATGTACAGTAGGGTGTTCTGAGGATCAGATGCCATCTTCTCGATCAGAAGCAAGGTCCCCTTCCTCTCCAAATAGAAAGCCGGCAAGCTTCAGGATTGATGCAATCCTTTTGAGGTTGACCAAATCAGGAAACAGATGCCCCAGGAAATTCGAGACATCTACTTTATTGATCTATGATGCTACAATAGGAGACTGTTGAAAGCCTATTGTATTTCTCCTTGTTTCCCTCTTTGACCAAAGACAGTAAAGATAGGCCAAACCTAAGGGTTTGGGGGTTCTTTGGGTCTCATTCCTTGGTGTTTCTTGGGTTAAATTCATGTTTACAGATTAGTTAGTTAGTGATACATATTTTCTTCAAGCAAACCTCCTGTACAAGTAAATATCTTAGCAATCATTCTAAGTAAGTTAGACTCTTGATAGATCTAAAGTTTTATGAGGGCATAATTGAATAACAAGCTGGATTATAGCCATATTCTTTTTCTCACTGTTACAGAACAATGCTGCATGGTTCAAATACCACACTTGGGATTATATATGTTATTTTGTATGGGGGATCCAGCTGCTCAAACTGAATATTTTCCCATAGCCCTTTATGAATTATGCAGCAATGCCTACAAACCTTAAATAACTGCTTGCCATCATATTTTCCTGTCTCTATTTCAATGACATCTTAACTATGAAATATTTGATTTGGGAGCCTCTTCCCTTATTTATTTCTCCTACTGACATTTTGCTGCTAGTCTAGTATGAGTAGCCACGCAATCTTATATATGCCTACTCAGAAATATATCTCAGCTACATTTGTATTACTATTGTTGCTGTCTTCATTAAATAACACTGGGTTAAAGTGCATTAAGAGCATTACCACTTCTCTATTATTAATTACTAATTGTGAATTATTCATTATAGTCCAAGAAATGACATCAGTAAAATGCCATGTGAATATGACATGAAGAAAAATGAAATTGATTTTTGGTGTATAGCTTTCTCTCAGATTTATTCAAAACTATTGCTATGCTTTGGGGATCAATATGAATTTTAAACAAGCCCTAATTTCCTGGGATAATCAATATCTTTAATCATATTCTACCCTTCACTTTCCCTAATACCATATTCACTGTAATTTCCCAAATACAACACAGTAAATTCCTATAACACTGGAAAATTCAACCAAGCTGCATTCATTCTCTGGGATAAAAAATAGCTAAGTAAAGTAAGATAGTAACTTGGTTTTAATTAGGCAGAGTTTCCACTGTGTTATTATAGTATTATTTCTACTTCTTAGAAATATTATTAGAGCTACTGGTTTAGTTTCCTTTGAGAGGGGTAGGGGAGCAAGCGGGCATAATTGTAATTAGTTCTAGACTTTTGACCAGAGTTGGCAGGAGATGAAACTAAGCTGGCAGGAATAGCCAACACTCCAGAAGATAAGCTCATGATATAAAAGGATCTTAACAGACATTGGGCGCTATCTAACAACATGAAATTCAATGGTGAAAAATGTAAGGTTCTACATTTAGGCAAGAAAAATAAAATGAACAGGTACACTATAGGTGGCACCTTGCTCAATAGTGGAGACTGTGAGAGTGATCTTGGAGTCCTAGTGGACAACCATTTAAATATGAGCCAGCAATGTGCTGCAGCTGCCAAAAAAGCCAACCCAGTTCTAGGCTCCATTAACAGAGGGATAGAATCAAGATTATGTGAACTACTAGTACCGCTTTATAAAGCCTTAATAAGACCATACTTGGAATACTGCATTTAATTTTGGTCACCATTGTATAAAAAAGATATTGAGATTCTGGAAAGAGTGCAAAGAAGAGCAACAAAGATTATCAGGGGTCTGGAGACTAAAACATATGAAAACTGTGGTCATAAATTGCAGGAATTAGGTATGGCTAGTGTAGTGAAAAGAAGGACTAGGGGAGACATTTCAATATTTGAGGGGCTACCAAAAGGAAGGGAGGGTCAAGCTATTTTTCAATGCAGCCGAAAGCCAGACAAGAAACCAAAGATGGAAACTAAAGAAAGAGAGAAGCAACCTAGACCTAAGGAGAAATTTTCTAATAGTGAGAATAATTAATAATGGATTGCCTTGCTTTCAGACGTTGTGGGTGTTTCATCACTGGAGGCTTTGAAAAGGAGATAGGTCATCTACTTGTCTGGAATGGTATAGGGTCTCCAGCTTGAGCAGGGGATTGGACTAGAAGACCTCCAAG